AATTTCGATTCCATATTGCATTGTGAAAAAATAAATAATTTATACAAAGCTGTCGCAAACATGTAATACGCAAAAGCTGTGCAAACATGCTAATACTTCATTGACATCGAAAAATGGAATCGAAGAAATTCTAACTGGTATCCAGTTGCTATGTTTTGATTTATTCCAACTTGCGATGACGCAATATGTGCATGTCACATTACGTATCATTCAGTAATAATAGAACTTGATAATATCAATATATCGTTTCTAATTTATTTTAGAGGAACTGATGAGTATGATACCGCAAACAGTACGTTGTCCAGATGGAAAAGAAGATTGGATTCTTGATGAAATACATTGCTATCATTTAGTTAGCAACATAACAATGTTCAATTCAGACTTTAAGATAGATTACAACTATCACAAGGCAATTAGCTTTCTTACCAAAGTAAGGCGAGATATGTAACTGAAAAATGTTCGTGAAATCAATTTTTTTTCTTTTAATATATTCTATATTATATTTCCAATGTGATAACCTCATGTTTGCTGAGAAATGTTCGAAATGTAAATCGCCTTCTGTTAGGCCTAAAATAAAATTTCACTATATACTACCCAATCATTTTTGTTAGATATTGGTTGAAGATCACATGCATAAATGTTAATTTCATTGGGAGTTAGTAGCCACTGTGTATCGATAAACTATGCTCACGTACAGTAATGTAACAATAACTATCACTGTTTAATCCTTAGTGCTGAACAATTTCATTTCAATTGCTATATTGCATTGTGCAAAATTAATTTATGCAAAGCTGTTGCATCATTTTTTGAATAGTTTTATTTCCCTTTGCTACTATTTTTTCAAACTTTCAAAACTGAGGTGATATTAACCAGAGAGTAAAACTACATTACTCCATCATTTGTAATTAATGCCTTTAAATGCTAAATAATAACATGAAATCATTCTTTCGGACTCCACATCTACCTCAAAGCTTAGTATATTGGAAAATATTGCAACTCCCATTAGTTTTAGAAACAATGAAATTGAAATTTCCGGTATCAATCATTGAACTTCTTTTTGTTCAATTAAAAATCACGGAATTGCTGCTTCTCAGTTGCATAGCTTTACTCGAAATATAATTTGGCCTTAAAAAGAGTGCCACATGGACAAAATTTACCAAATATGATGAAAAAATACCTGCAAACAAGCTACGCTGATGTTTAATATTTTATGTTTAATAATGTTTGATAATGTTTAATAATGATGTTTAATAATGCCTGTTTAATATTCTAATGATATATAATTTAATGAGACAATAAATTTGATGCATTAAATTTTCTCTGATATATCTAAAATCTTGTTGATGTAAATATTCTTTTGTTTTTTGAAAAGAATTTGTGAAAATTTGAGAAGAAGCAAATTTTCGAGAAAAACTAAAAAATTTTTTTCATCAAGGAAGAATGAAACATTTTTGATTTCTTTTTTTTTTTTAAAGAAGTAATTAATTATTTGCTTTGTTTATTTGGATAGATTACCCAAATATGCATTCATTTGCATAAGTTATGTCAAATAAATTTAAATATGAATTAACAATTTTGATTAGATAATATCAAAAAAGGATGTGAGAATTGTGTGAAATTACAAAGCCGAAATTAACCAAACTAATTGGATTGCCTCTTTTTTTTTTAATTTATCATTTAAAATGAATGTGCAATAAATTTAATCATAATATTCATAAATTTGAATGCTCAAAAATGATTTGGCATATTTTGGGATTGTTTTGTTTTTTCCTTTTTTGTTTTAGGTTTATTTCAAATGAATGTTATAGGGACATTTATAGAAGAAAATGGTCGTAATATTTTTAAAAAAATCATAATTTTATTTTCGATTGAAGAAAAATGTCGTGATTTTTTAATAAACATGAAAAAAAATCACAATCGTTGTTTTTTTTTTTAAAGGAAATGTTATTTTCAGATCAATCAGGGCGAAACCAAATTCAAACATATACTGGAACAGTTTAACACATATTCCGGATAAATACCAATGTTGCCTTTTACATTCCCACGAATAGTATCACTTCTTATCGAGTATATTTTCCCATCACCAATTCCGCCTCATTACTTTAGTGGCGCACTTTTTAGACCAATACAATTTCCGCAATTCAATACTTTATATAATTGTTTTTCTTTTTTACTTCCTCAAAAATATGTTAAATCTCTTAAACGTACGATATTATTTAAAACAAATGAATTATTACAGTTACTACAGTAATTACTACAGTTCACTTTTTCACATATGTAAACTGTTGAGATCTAAAATTTACACGATGTCCCAATCAAATCTGAATGGGGCGTCTTTTTTTTCCATCTATATGCGTAATTGTTTGAGAATATTTTTGTATGTATCTCTATTATCGTATTGACATGTAAATATTTGTAATATTTTCTCAATCTCTACTAACATACTTTCTTGCAGTCAATTTTGCTTCTCTGGCGTTTTTCATTTCTATGCTTTTTCTCGCTTTCAGTTATTACTATTCTTGACTTTTTGTTTCTTCTTTTTTTTCAAGTCATTGATTACTTATTGTTATAGAACCTTTCAAGTTTTTACATTCTCTTTTCAATTTTGATAACCTTTTACAGTGTATTTTTCTCGGATGTTAATCCTTAACTTTTACTTGGAGTAGATTAGCATATAGATGACGTACACTTTCACTATCTGCACAATTTTTATCTTTCTAAATGTTACTCATTTCTATCGATCTAATCCTAGTTCTTAAATTTATCATCAATTTCCAAATTTCAGTTATGTCAGGTGATATAGTTCGGCCCAATTCGATCTCACAGTTAATGCCAAATATGAAAAATGTCAATCTGACATTTATTGTTCTTGATATTGGTAAGTTATTCAATTTTAGACCTAGATCGGCAGTCTAAAGTTATTTTGATAGTATTGTCTTTGTTCGGTTCAGCTGAAGCTCAATTCGTTTTATTTTGTTCCAGTTCGTGTTTATTTTAATTAATTTCATGTCAGTTTCGGTATGTTTTCCTTTCAGTCAAAGTCATTTCATTTCATTACATTTATCTGATAATATTTTCATTTCCATTTAATTCATTTCCTAAATTCCACACGTTAATGATTCGGAATTGTTATCACCAACTGATAGAAGAAACACAATTTCTTTTTTACTATTTATACGAAAGTAATCCAGGGTTGTTGATTGGGAGTACTTACATGAATTCCAGTTTGCCTTACATTTTAGGTCAGTCACGACGCACGCCTCAGGGACATGATGTTCGGACTATACGCGTTGCGGATCCGACAGGTTCCGTTCTAATGGGTGTATGGAATGATGTTGGTGATAATATTTCCGCTGGTGATATTTGGCGGCTAAGGTTAGCTCTTCTGAGTTATGCTAAGGAAACTTTTGCTTTTAGATTCTAGAAGGAAGGAAGAATTCTGGTACCGTAACCGCCCTTAAACCTATTTATTTTACGATATCCGATAAGTAATGGTTTTTATTTCAGTATTTTATAATATTTCATCCAGTTCGCTTTGATTTCGTATTCTAAAACTCATGAAAAGATTGAAGTCACTACTAGTACTAGGCAAGTTGTTCTCTTACTTTTAGGAATGGTTTTACGACAATCTTTAAGGGTTCGTTGAGTTTATCATACGGTAAAATGGGTGAATTGTTAAAAACGGGTGAGTTTTTTATGGTTTATGCGGAGGTGCCAAATATGAGTGAATATAATGCCGAGTATGCGACGAAATTTCCATCAAATCGGAAGGGTTCACCAGACGATGAAACAACAGGCAATGGCCAAGGAGGTAAACTGCTTAGTTTTCCCATCAAAATATCCGGAACACTCTTACTTCTAGTACTTATTTTTTTGACCTGTGATCTTTAACATATTATTTGTCCTGACACACAATGAGCAATTCATCAAATTTCTACAGATGCACATCTTAATTCTATATTGATACATCATTTGAGATCAAAAATTGAGGGGAGCTAAAGAAATCCTCATAACACGAAGTTGGCATTACTTGTTTGAAAAATTTTTTCAATCATTTTCATTTGGCTTCAGGTAACGGTAATGTACAACGGTCCCACTCAACAACTGGTATCCATCGACCAGTAAAACGACCAGCACCATCCCAGGGCCAATTCCGACGTGATAGTATTAGTAACAAAAACGCGAGAAATTCTTGACTCCTTACTGTGACTTTAAGATCTCAGAAGCACAAGGAACTTTAATGGCTACAGAGGCAAAAAGTACCAACAGTTGGGATGGAAACTTTTTTACAGCTAATCTAAAACAGGTTTTTCGTTTTAGAAGTTCTGCTGACGGGTAATTAGCCGACGCGTCGTATATCCTTCATGAAAATTTTTATAAATCTTTCATGAAATTAGTCCACATTTATCAATGTGGAATCAGGCTCTTAATTATTTGGTTCATCGTGACTTTTGCTGCTTCTTTTCACTTGTCTATATTCTTTGACCATACGACGCACCGTCTATGGATATTGATCTTTCGTTCCCACATCACCATAGATATGTGTTGACATATTTCAACTGTAGAAAGTAAAATCATTAATTCCCTAATCCCCCATTAAATGAAAATGCCTTTTCCAAATTAAAAGACGTTATCAGAGCATTTTAAAACTGCCAAACGTTTTGCAGTGGAAAAAACCATTTTCGACCTGTCAGGAACAGACTGTTTTTGATTTATTTCGAAATTGATGCTAAAACATCATCATTTTACACATTCCTCAACATTTCAAGAAGCAAAAAGCGAAATTAAGCAATTCTTCAAGAAAATATCACCCCTTTAAGCAAATAATTAGCACGACTAGAATATAAAAATATGGAACAAATTTAAAAGCAACATTCACATTATCCATTAATGACCGGTCACCCAAAGCATATTATTCACTTGCCCGGCAAGGTGAAATTATTTTGGAAATCCGGAAAAAAGGTGCTTCCCAATTGCAAAATAACATCATTTCATTATTTGGAAGAAGGTTCTAAATATTACTCATGATTGCAGCTTGACAAATCACAGTATTATGGTAAAAAATATTTAAAAAGAAAACGTAGATTTAACATTTAATATTGATAAAAAATATCGAATATTACGGGAAATCTGATCAACATAAAGAAATAGTAACAAATCAATACAATGCGAAGTGTGACCAAACTAGACGCAGAAAATTCATCTCTCGCGGTACTAGTCTGCAAGAAGTCACAACAGTAATACATGAATAATCTCTCTTCTGTGCTGCTTTTTAATCGAAATCTTCCCGATTCTGAAGTTATTTTCTCATGAGGCATAAATCAGTAAGACTACGGAGTACTGTAGCGCCTTAGCCACAGCTGCTATGTTGGGTTCAATCACAATTCTATTTCATCCTATTGGACCCTCATTCTTCAGTTGTCTCTTAGATTCTTAGGGAAAATCGGTTAAAAACATCACCTTTTAAGTTCTAATGCTTATGTGCATGTTTTCCTTTCTTTTTTAAATATAAAACACGAATTTGAGCAGAACAGTTAGATCCATACTAGCAAGGCGAATAATACAGTATGGAAACTTTGTAACAAAAAGACATTACTTACATTGAGCATACATATTTAAACTGAATGTCTCAGATCAAGATTTCTCTGTTATTCATTCTTCAAAAGCAACATTTCAACAGCTCGTCAGGATTTCTGTAACAAAAATATTTCTAAAAAGAACGAAAAAAAGTATAAAATGTGGGATATCGTCATATATAAAAGCATAACCAGTAACAGAAATTGGAAGGAAAGGACACTCAATCACTTCAATTAACACCAGGTAGTTCTAATTCTAGAAATGAGGAAGGGAGTCGTCAAATTAAGATGTTTACGTCTATAGGTATACATTAGTATTTCTAATTAGTTTTGATTGATAATTCGAGTTCTAACCTCGCTTGCTTGTGTTTCGGATCGTTTCAGCAAATTAGGCTTCACTCTCAAATACCGACTTCTCGTTTTTCCAGTCGCAACAACTCCCGTCGTTTTTGTTTTTGTGGAATGCATCTCACTAGTATTTTGCGCCGGTGACTCTTTGCTGACACCTTCAGGACTTACGACTTCCATTTTCGAATTCCCGGGTGTTGAAGGGATTTCTGTATCTCCCTTCCTTTGCTGTCTACCCTCATCCTCGATATTGTTTTCTCCTGGAACCTCAAATGCAACCGCTAGAGACGACTTCTGACAGTTCTGTTCGACAGACTTGTCAGTTTTTTGAACAGACTTCAGATTTGGCTGCATCTTCGCGTATCTTGCTTTAGCCATGCGCGGTTTTCCGGACGGTATTTCTGTTACAGCTGCATTCTTAGAGTTAAAATTAATTAATTCGGAACTTTCTCCAACAGTTAATTTCGCCGGCCTTTTCCTTGTAAAGCGACCAACCTTTCCCATAAACTCTGCAGTTGAATGGGAGGTCCCAGCTTGGGAAGAATCCACTCTATCTGTTTTGGGCAGTGAAACGGATGGACTGCAATGTTCTACTGATGTAGAGGATATGCCAGCTTCTGTTATCGCACTACCAACATCGCTTGTAACTCGATACTGAGCTCCAGTATATCCTCTGCAAATAAAAATAAATATCCCAACATTAGACAACATAAACATTAATTGAACTATCACAAGGAAGGGTGGATGGATTTTTAAGCGCTTTGTCTCAAATAAAGTTCTAATTACCTTTCGTTCGTTTTCACTTCGCCAACAAATGGGGTACGTTCTTCATCCGCCATAGATAAGCCTTTTGTAGATTCTGGAATATATTACAGAAATGAAAGATTAGATATACTTTTCTGCAAAAGATTCGCAAGCTTAGTCTGTAGTTCAAATCGTAACTCACAATCCTGATAATGAGAGTCACTTTTCTTAATTTTCAAGTGCATTCTGATACTTCAAGATAAATGTTTTCCTCTGATAAAGTCAGTCTTCAATATTACTCACACAATTCCAGTGAATAAGTTGAGATTTCCAACACAAAGTGCTTTCTTTTTTAGGATCCCAATCCTTTTCCAAGAAATAAAATTCTTGGATTAGAAAGAGATCCAAAAATACAATTTCTCATTAGTTTTACCTTTCTCTTCCTGACTGGCATTTTTTTTGGCAGCATTCGATGCAGCTATAACTGAAATTGTTTGCTCAACTGCTTTTTTCGTTGCGAGATTGACGTTTGGTCGAAAACGTCTCCTAGTTTTCAGAGTTTTCCTTGTAGTTAAGGTGAGATTTCTACTATCTTTAAACAACTGAAACTTTGAGAAAAATTTTTTCCATGGAAAGAGTTCGAAATTTACCTCATAAAGCAAGTAATTTGAAGTGAAGATTAACTTGAAATAAATCCTGGAAGAGGATCAACAATTTCGTATTTTTGTCAATGTTATGAATTTAATTTCATCTTCTAACCTATCGGTCGACTTTCTGAGTTCACGATGGATATCAGATGGATTAAAACATTACAAATAGAAATTATAAAGAATGACTTTGTCCCTAGAAGTTTGATTAACAATGGGGATGATAATTACCAAAAATGTAATTGTCATTTAGTCCATGCTTAAGGGAATTACACAGGAAGTACTTTCCATTTCCGGGAAATACCACTAACCAATTGCTTAGTTCGATCTGTTGTTCTCTAAGATAGGAGGGTGCACTACAGAAAGAAAGACTTAAAATGGAAGAGAGAAAAAAAAACCGTGTGCTCGCTAGTTTCACTGGTTTCTTCTTTTACATCACTTGTACTGCAGTCCATTTCAGGTCTGATAACAGTTTCATCTGCATCTTCGATTTCTCTTAGAATATCATAGTTTATTTTGTTTGAAAGTTTCTTTTCCTGCAAAATTTGTTAAGAAATTTCCGTATTAAAGACAGGAAATTTTTGAAAGTCGTCAGCTAATTTTGAAATGAACCCTGAAATGATTCTGTTCTTGATGTTCTATTCTTGATATTAGTGCCCTAGTTTTTAGTATTTCAGCTTTCCCAGGATATAACAATAAAAATAATTATGACCACGAAAATTCACATGTATAACTTTTTCCATTGCTTCCTGCGCAGTTGCAGCAACGATGGGCTCCTTTTTACGGATACCATTTGTTCGACGTCGTTTTTTGATTGAATTATCTTTTTCGCGTTCTTCTTCCTCCCTTTCACGACGCCTAAAAAAAGAAATATGCTTTGGCAAAACTGTTATATTACGCAACAAAAAGATAAACCAAAAAGAATTCCATGCATGTGATGGTCACAGTTCCAAACTTTCCACGTTTTTTTATATCCTGTTTTTTGTTTTTTTATATCCTTTTATCCTGTTTTCCCACCAAAGTTGCGTCACGCGTTACCTCATTATTTTTGAGCTAAGCAGAACACTACGAGTACATTAAACTTTACCGTCGCTCCATTTCTTTCAAATGTTCCCCGTTTAGTTTCATCCAGAAACGGGTTTTCAAATCCACTTCTTCTTCGGTTAGGATATATGTATCGATTTCTTCATCATCAATTCCTGCAGTAATATTATAATTCCAGAGGAAATTCACAAAGTATCATATTCTTGTCTTTCAGAATTATTCCATCATTCAACAAAAGGATATGGCAACTATAGTCTATATAACATTATATGGGACATGGTAAAGAAATTCCAGAACTAACATTAACATTTAAATTATTTTTTAGATAACATTTAAATTATTTTTTAGTCAACCGATGCTAACTATACTGTCGACGCTTGTCACAGTTATCACAACTCACTGTGTTGACTACAAAACTAGATATTACCGATTACTAAAACTTTATTTGTCTAAGGAAAGAAAAAAAAAGTGGAATTTCACCCTCCAAATCGAGTTCTTCATTGCTATTAAGTTTCTCACTACTCGTTTCAATAATCGGTTCTACTTCATTCTTGATTGGTGTTATGCCAAGGCTAACTAATGAAGGTGCATAAGTGGATGACATGCCGGCATCGGATCTGGAACAATACTTAATATTAAATGTTACTGGTTGGTGAAGATTACATCGATTTCGTAAAAAGAAAAGGAAAAAAAACAAAGAAAAGCAAAAAATATATAGCTTTACTTACAGCGGAGTAGTACTTCTTGCAGCAGAAAAGACTAAATCAACAATTTCATTTCGTACTACAGCATCTGCTGGAGTAAGTTCATCCGATTCAGATCCTAACGAACCACTCATCATCTGTGCGTATTGTGTCCGTTTGAAGCGTTCCTTTCGCCGCTTCTCAAGAGCTCGCTCAACTTCCGCTTCCATTGGTGACATCTGTAAAGTTTACCTTGCATTTTGAACAACAGCAAGTCTGTAAATATCTAACTAACTGATTCAAATTGCAGTTTTTCTTTTTTTTGCCTTGTACTACACACTATGAATACAAAACAGAGTTCTCAGGTATATAGAAAAAGCATTACATTCCTTTCTAACAAATGTTATCCACACTATAAGTGCCAAGATAACAACGAGCAATAAAAATTAAAGCATTTATTCATATATATTCACAAACCTCAAGTTCTATCTTCCTCAATGCTTCCTCCTCCTTCTGTAATTGTAACTCACGTGCTTTACGACGTGATTCGCGAAATGCTGGTGGATCTTCACAGTGTTCCTAAAAAAAATGGAGAATTTCTTTTTTTGGAAAAAAGTTGTGGATTTTCCAAAAGTGAGGTTTCAAATAAGCAAGAGTTTTATCACATCAATTATGCTGTTTGTTATGGAAAGTAAGATATATTAAACGTTTTTTCGTTAAAAGTTCGAGGTTTACCAAATCGACTGATGTAAATTCATCGATTGTTAACGTGCTCGACGGAGTCTGCCCGAATTCATCAAGACGTTTCTTAACGACGGCTTCGCTAATATGCACAACACGTACAACGTCGGCAACCGTTCGATTAAAATTATAGCATCGGGCTGCAAGCAATAGTGCTGCACCACAAAGACCAGTTGGTCGTCTTCCCGTTGCTATCCAGTCACGTTTCATTCGTTGTACCAATCGAGTTGCTAAAGATACCACCTGCAGAAACAATCATAATAAAAATTAATAAGTGATAGCAAATATTGTAATACAATTTGAAAATCAGGGAATTACAGAGCAAAGCCTCCACTTTCCCGCCAAGTTCTTAAGCAAAGATAAAAAATTTGATTAAAACATTAACAAGCCAAATAAATGATATCCCTGACAGTACGAAACATCTAATCTCAGTTAAATTACCGAAATCCTATTTGAATTACCTTCCTTGCAAACGAATGCAAACGAATACTACTTCTTTCTTCTCTCATTCTGATGAAACGACGCCATCTAGAGTTCAATCCGTTGAAAAACCATAATATAAGCATGTCAGGTGAGGTTTAATAACCATTAACTACATGCATTCGTCATCAAAGGAACAACTGCTAATATTCTATTACAGCTAAATTCTATGAAAATATTCAGTAAAAGTTGAAAAGTACAAATCTTGCAAAAATTTGTGCTGACCTCTTTTTGTTTAGTACCAAAATCGAGTGAAACCGCAAAACGTAATATATACATGCAAGGATCAGTAGTTGGAAGATTGATTTTCAAAGATCGTGTCAAAAAATTCAATGTTCGTCCTAAATCGAACACATTAACCTGTAAAATTTTTGGATGTTTGAAATGCTGAAGAGCGAAAAAATCCTTAATTGATTTTTGCTGTCAAAGGGACTGGAAGACAAAAAAAGTAACAATTACGCAGCGACACCTGAAAGAAATCGTAAAAATTTTGCAAATCGTTACATCTGAAACCCGAGAAATTTCAAGATAAGACGCCAATTACTTGAAAAACAGCAACAGAAAAGATTTATAAAAAAGAAATTTTCCCCCTACGAACGCGAACATTACCAATGAGACCTTAACAGCAATGGCTATGTGATCCAAATTCTTCGGGAGATACCTGGGTGATATCGCTAAAATCCAGCAACAAATGTGCGGTATTCTCCAGCCGACAAGTCATATATAAACATGCTGCTACGACGTGTGACCGAACACGTCCACGTGTAAAATTACGTGAAACGCACATTTTGAAAAAATTAAATGCTGTATTAACGCAGTGCTGATTTATCCGAAGCTGACTTGCTATCTGCAAATACATGCCAAATGTAAAGCAAACATTATTGAAAATTCAACTGAATGCAGTACTGACAAAATTCGTTTCTTTTTTCTATTTTTTCAAACATCAACCTATAACAAACATCGCATAAACAGAAAATCCTGAATTAATCATTAATTCGCATGCTTTATCACCTTAAAAGACCTGATGAGAATACCGGGTAACCTGAACTATTTAATCTAACCAGTAATATTTTTTCACCTCTTCGATCAATTTCCTTCCCTTGTAGTAAGTAATTTCCCGGGATTCCTGATGCGATAAACCGGGTACGCCAGAAAGGTTGGTTGGTTGACCGCGTTCTTTCGAAATAAATTGTCCTGAACGTCATATAAGGACTATATTAACTTCAAATATACATCACATTCATGCGAAATTATTTGTTTCCATCATTTGAAATTATTAGAGTTGGGAAAAAACATTACAAAACATCCTGTGAGGATGAACAACTTACCCACTAAGGAATGACCACCACCAGCATTTTCCTGAAATGCCACATCCGAAACAATGGTTGACTCTTCCAATACCGTACCACATCCCATACACGTAGAATCACCACGAGCCGCATCATCATCAATTTCCGAACTGCCACAATTTGGGCACTTTCGGCTCATTCTGAAGAAAACGAAGAAATGAAACTGCTGTTATTCCTTGCAAAAATCCGAAATTTGATCAAAAATTTATAGAATCAGTCAAAACGAATGTGAAACGGAAATACTAACAAGAAATTGGCAAGAGTAAACACAGCACAAATGATAAACGAAAAATGATACGCAAAAAATGTGACCGTTAAATACTTTCCGAATATTAAATATACAGATAAATTCTTCAAGAATCCCAACCTAGATAGGAAACAAAGAAACAGCAAATGAATCATACCATCGGGTGAATCCGAACCCAGAAACTACGGAAATGTACAATACATCGGTAGCAATATGCCATCCGACCAAACTCAACACACTTATTTTTTTGGAATGGAAGAACTAATGGAATGGAGATTTTTTTTCTTCGTGTTGTAAGAACTTCGAACTTTTGATAAATTGCTTTAGAACTGATAACAATTTATTTCTTATCATTCTCGATTTCAAATACTACTAGCATCACATCGACATGCTTTGTTAATAACCAAAATGTAATTTATTAAATCTTCAGTTATTTCTTAAATCGGAACAATATAGTTCCTAGCAAGCAATCTCTGGTCATAATATTTTCATAATCGCATGAACCGTTAATCCATAAAAAAATATTCTCTTCCTCACATATGGCAAAAGACAATATTTCATGCCACAGGATTACTTTTCCATGTTAAGCTTACAATGAACACATACTTGCTATGTATTTTTGCTCTTCCTTTAATCTTATCAATTGCTAGATATCTCTAAAATTACAAAAACATTTGCTTTATTCTGAAATTTCTGATTATTTCAAAATCAAACTGATCAGTATTTCTCTTCTCAGATGCATTCTTCCAATCACTTATGGAAATTTCAATTTTTTTCAAGATATATAGTAAAGAAAATTAGCCTTCCTGTTTTTATTTCCTTTCAGATTAGTATATTGTGATATGTCACATTAAGGAAATCTCCATTTTTTTTTTTTTTGACGTTAAGGAAATTTCCACACAATTCTGATGCATTGAGTTAATTATAGTCCATGGAAAATTTTTTTTTTTCTCAAACTTTAGGCATATTAGTAATACTTCATAAGAACCACCATCATTTAAAATGCTTCATAAATACCATCCGATTAAAAAAAAAATCAAAAAATAAGAGTCCTCATGTTGAATTCCAGGAAATTTTTTGAACTGCAAAGGTCATGATCAGATAGTTGCTAGAGTGAAAATAAGAATCCCAAATAAAATTCAGGACCCGGAATGCCACACCCTCACCTCGATATCCTGGAATGCCCGGAGTGCTCCGTCCCTCTTCACCATCAGGACAATTGGAACGTTGTATAGCCGAAATTTGCGTGCTGCAAACTTCAAGCATGTGAAAGTTCGGTTGTCGAAATTTGTAGGTTGGTTGTTTTTGTCATTTTCATATACTTCACGTCGTTTGCAAGTTTGGGTGGACACCTGAATGATTTAGCACTTAAGTAAGCTTACAAATCGAGTAAATATAATATTCAACACTTAAATTTTTAAACAAAAGTTTGAAAATGCAAATTTTAGAACAAAAAAAATTAGCAGGCTAGATTTGGGGAATTGTATTTCAAATAACATTTGTAGTAATTGTAATAGTTATTTCTTGCATGCAAAATTTCCCACATACTTTCTCTAGTATACTTTCTGATAAGGATACAATTACATGCTTGGTACTGTCGACGCATAACCTTTAACCTGTTCTACGATGACAGCACAGTCTTCGATTATGCATTCGATCATGGTACGATTGTGACCTTCGACGACATGTTTTGAAAGTGTTAGTAAGATATTACGATACGCTGAAGAATACTCTTTCATGACCCTCTTTTAACGGAATTTATAATTTTTTTGTCCTTTTCAATCTAGTTCAATTTTGTTTTGTCCTTTTCAAGTTTAAGTTTAATCGGTTGGTTAGATTATTGATAACATATACCGCTTAAAAAGTAATTTAATTGTATAAGTGAGTTAATGAGTTTTTTGTTAATTTACGACTTTGGACATTCTTGTAATTAGCCAAATTACCATTTGTAAATTATGATTTAAATTTCAACCTAGAATTGATTATGTTTGATAGTTTCAACAATCGATTTACAAATAGTTCAATTGAATTTTCGATCATTTTGAAATCAAATATAATTTGATCGAGTCAAAACGTAATAATAATTAACAATAACAAATGTCATCATTGCAAATATGAGCGAATTTCATTTTCTTAGGACAGATACATATCTTTGGATCATTTCGATCAAATCGATCCCGACAAAACATTTTAATCAATTTGCATGCTGCTACACCCGATGTTTTGAAAATTCTCGATCATCTCTGCCACCTAGGTGGAGAGTAAACGATGCTGGAAGATGACTTATTGATTGATTTGAAGATTTTCTGCAATTCACATACATTTTATTATAATCAATTATTTTGTGCAGTATTTTCTTATTCAAATTCTTGCATAATTTTCTGGATCATTAAAAGTAAACAATTTAATTTCAATTACAATTATATGAAAATGTTCGATTATATTGTTGTTGTTGTTTACATTGTTTAGGCAATAAACAGTTAATTAATATCAGTTTCATGATATAGCTGAAATTTAATACATTTTCCGAGTCAAAAAGAAAAATCAGAAAATTTTGGTGGAGAAATCTTGATAATTATTCATGAAATATTTCATTTAAGGATTGATAAATATTCTGGTCCAATTTTCGATGGATAACTTTCGGATTTTGTCATCCATCAATTCTGTTTTAGTTTTAAAATTATATTATCTTGTCTTGAAAAAAATTAAAATTAAAGAAATTGCTGGAGTTTTCTTTTTTTTTTTTGAATGTAATGGATCTAGAAGTACGATGACATTGTCTGAAACTTATCCGATTTCAGCTATTCCAGCTTAGAGCAGAAAAATCGTTGTTGATTGTTGATATACATATACATATATATATATATATATACTATATATACTATAGGACTGGTAAGAAATCAAAGTGCATTTTTGATTGTGTTATAAGTTTCAAAATGGCTGGAAATTATTGAAAATTGTTGATCGGATATGTAAAATGTTATTATCATGATAGATCAAGTTATTTTGCTTACCGGATTAATGGCCTAATTAGAATTATCATTTCCTTTTTTTTCCGGAGTTGCATTTAATTGTAAAATTCAAAATATTTTTGATTGTATTTTTTTATCATTGATCCTTCCATATGTTAGTTTTATCCTTATTGCAATGCATTTCTAATATTTATTTCTGATTACATGTTAAAATTGAAAGTTTCTTTTCTCATAAGCATCATAACCGGTTTCTGTTTTAGCTATTCACAGTAATTACCCAGTATGTTTACAGGTACATAAAACGGATTGATATCATCCGTAATTTTTTTCTTTTTCAAGTTAATAACAGATGAATTTTTTTTCAATATCCATCGATCGTTATCATTTGTATTTATGAGTAATTTCTAGTTTTTATTTAATTTCCTCAAAAATGGCATACATTCAGCGATAATTACTAACAGTGATTACCCAGTATGTTTACAGGTAAGTGAAATGGATCAATTCCGGAAAATCCGGAAAAAATTTTGGCATTCAAACATCAACTGAAGTAACAATACTGATAAAAAAAGTCAATTTACGGTAACTGATTAAATATTTCCAATTCACTTCAAAAAGATTAATAATTAATTGTTGGGATTAATTGCAAATTTGATTGCCATTTTAGAAAATATGAAATATTAAAATTAAAAATATGAAATCAAATAAATAAATATGCATGTGGGAGATAAATTAAAATTATTAAATGTAAAATATCAAAATAAAATATGGAAGAATATCATTTCCCGCT